TTGAACCACCAGCCATCTGGTTAGCAGGCAAGTGTCTTAGCCACTATGCTACCAGAGCTCCCATATTATTTTATTTAAAAAAAAAAAATCCTAAAGATTAATTAAAAAAAAGATCCAGTAGCAAAGTTCAGACAATATGAACAGACACTTCACAAAAGTAGATACCAAAATGACCAAAAACCAAATGAAAAGATAGCTTCCTCGGTCATCAAGAATCCAGTTCTTGGCCTGCATTACTGGGAAATACATTGTGCCTTTCCCTAGGTGTGATGTGTTGCAGAGGAGGTTTGACATGACAGACCTGCAGCTTGCAGGAGTGTACATTCCTAGGCAGCTGATATAACAGCTTAACATTTTGATCAGAATGAATTTGCCAATCAAAAAAAAGACAATCAATTTGAGAAAATAGAAAGATATTTTAAAATAAAACAATCAGCATTAAAAAAAAAAAAAGAGAAAAGCCATTTTAAAATTCCCATTAGAGACCTCTACATATCACCAGAAACTCTAGAGTGAAAAAAGATGGAGAACACCAAGTGTCAAGGGGAAGAAGGCAGAGGAAGAATACTCACCAAAAATATGGTCATGGAGTAGATGAAAATTAAATCGAAACATACTGTTATTGATTTCCTTTTTTTTAAACATAGCAATTGTGTCTATCAAAATGAGCAAAAAGCAAATATATAAGAATTTGTGGTTAGGCCAAAGAAGGAGGTAAAACAAGCTATCAGAACTTAGTAAAAAAAATGAAAGAGATAATAAAATTAGATTGCCAAGGAAGACGACACTGAGAGCAGCAGAAAGGTGAAGAGAGTTACCTCTGAAAACACTGTAAGGTCCATGGAGCTCAGTACTGAGAGAGAGTGAATATGGAAATGAACAGATAATTTTGAAAGATAAAGAGGAAATTGCAGTCGTGGGAGACAGATAAAGGGAATCTGACTTAGGTATAAAAGGCAAGAAATCAAACCCACTGCCACTGAATTGATTCTGACTTAACGCAACCCTCATAGGGTTTCCAAGGCTATAAATCTTTACAGAAGCAGGCTGCCTCATCTTTCTCCTGCAGAGTGGCTATTGGGTTTGAACTGCCAACCTTTTGGTTAGTAGCCTAATGCCTTAACCACAGGGCCACCAAAGCTTCATATACAGGTATAAGTGGTACCCATAAAGATGAGAACTAAAATATTGTAACAGAAAAATTATCTGAATATAAATTCAAAACAGTAACCTGAAATAAAAGATGTCAGTCTCAGATTGAAAGACAAATACCTATTTTTCACCCAAATGACCCCGAATGATGAATACTGAGACATGTTCAATAAAATTTCTGGATTTGAGAAATAAAAGCAAAAAAAAAAAAAAAAAGGAGAAAATGTCAGGCTGTATTCATATTCCTCCACAGTAGTACTGAGTGACAGAAGGCTCCAAGCAACACTTCTAAAGGCCAGGGGAAAAATGTGATTCCACAAATTTACATCAACTAAATAATCGATCGGAGCACAATGTCTAAGGCATTTAACTGATAACCAGAAGGCTGTTGGTTCAAATCCACCAGCCACTCTGTGGAAGAAAGATGGGGCAATCTACTTCCATAAAGCTTTACCACCTTGGAAACCCAATGGGGGTCACTAAGAGTCAAAACTGACTCGATGGCAGTGGGTTTGGTTTTGGTTTAACAGTTGATCAACTTTTAGGTAACAGAAAAACATTTTCAAACAATCTGATAGCTGAATTTTTTTTTTTAGGGAAAATACTAGAGGATGAACTTCATCCAATTAAGAAATGACTGAATAAACATGGCAAAAGGACTAGCAGTGACTACTGATTAAAAGGAATGGGAGATTAAAAAATAGAATGCATATGATGGAAACCTAGACAAAGTAGAAAGAACATAAGAAAGAATAGGGTGGCAGAGAAGGTGGTTGGCAGATGGGAGTAAGAGGAGTAGGAGGTTGATCTACATACACATATTAGTTTTCTAGCCCATTGTTTTTGTTAGATGCTGTCTAGTTGGTTCCGACTCACAGTGACCCCATGTACAACAGAACGAAACACTGCCCGCTGTTGCTATGCTTGAGCTCATCATTAAAGCCATTGTGTCAATCCATCTCTTTGAGGGTCTTCCCCTTTTTCAATGACTCTTTACCCAGCACGACATCCTTCTCCAGGGAATAGTCCCTTCTGACAACATGACCAAAGTATAAGGGATTAAGTCTGGCCAGTCTCACTTCCAAAGAACATTCTGGCTATATTTCCTCCAAGACGGATTTGTTCATTCTTCTAGCAGTCTAAGGTACCGTCAGTATTTTTTGCTAACACCATAATTCAAAAGCATCCATTTTTCTGTGGTCTTCCTTATTCATTGTTCAGCTCTCACATGCATATGGCACTATTACAAATACCAGAGTTGGGGTCAGGTACACCTTAGTCTTCAAAGTGACTTTTTTGCTCTTAAACACAAAACAGAGGTCTTTCATAGCAGATTGGCCTG